TTTCATTCAAAGTATTCAGTTGTTTGGCCATGTTATCATAGTATGCGTTCCCATTCTGAGTAAGTCTTTCCATATTATGAATATTTCATAGATTTACCTGTTCAACGACATCTTGTGTGAGTTCTCCAAGTAATGCACGCATAATTCGAGGACTCAACTCTGTCATTAGTTCGTAACGACTATGACTGCTCTGATTCTGTCCATCTGTTCGTGGAGAGTTATGTTGCTCCTCATATCGCTCTATCACAGATTGGACTCCTCCCTGACTTGCTTCCTTATCAAATTTCTGAGGCACATTGTTTCACTTTTTGTATCTCCAACACCAAACACCAAGGTCCCACTGGGCGTGCCAAATTGTTTCGCGCGAGTAGTCGCTAACAATTAAAAAGGGATCAGACGATTGTATAAGGAACAAACCTCCTGAGACAAAGTTCCAAAAATGGGTGTTTTATTGGCGATGACTTTACAATTGTAACTAAACAGAATGCCTTCAAAGGGCGCAAGCACACGAGTACTGAAAAGAAATGTTTAAGTCTAAACTAAGAAATTGAAATTACATATTCTCTATTTGAGAGTGTTTAATTCGGGGTCCTTTGCTCTATGTCTTTCTTCCTTTTATATTTCCTTGATGATATCTTTGTAATCAACCGCTTAGAAACTATTTAATTGCTTTACACTTTCTTCATGGTGCCCAACTTATCGTGGAACTGCCGTCTCTAACTGCTGCCACTACTCTTTGTCGTTCAACAGTCTTCAACTGAACTCCTTGAATCGTGGAACGTGATTAGATTACTCAATAACTGTTTCGATAACTGCACTTTTGGATAACCATAACATTTTATGTTTGCTAAGATTCTGGGCGATTCGAAGGTTTGGGCGAGAACAGGGTCATAACTTTGGGCGACTGCAAGGCACTTCATTCGCTCAAATCTTGGGCGTCTTGCAAGTTTGGGCGATGGTGTTATCGCGTTCGTGGGCTTCCACTGCATTCATTAATAACACTATTTGGACCTTTATCCTGAATTGTCCAGTTGGGCTTCATTCTTTGGGCTATTCGATTTGGGCTGCACTTTCAGCGTGTCAACAGTATCTTAAATAATCAATTCCCTTATAAATGAATGTTAAGTTTTAAATATAAAAATATTACTAACATATAAAAAAAAATGAACTGCTCTAGAAAATTGACTTTTTAAAATAATTCCATATCATCAATGTTAGAGCGCCGCAGCCACTCGAAGACAAAAATGCCTCTCATATTTTAACGATAGGTCATGAGATATTTTGTTATTGTGGATTAAGACTTTTAGACTGTACGTGTAGAATTAATTATAATTGATATTATGTTTACAGAAGAAGTATTCAATAAGTTTTAGGTTTTTTTTTTTTTTTTTAATTTCAAACATATATACACTATTGTCAGTATATTAGGATAGATGAAAAATATGACTACGAGTTCGTTGGTTTCCCATTTGTTTCATCTTATGGTTACACGGCATCAATTAATTTAGACTCCTTCCCCCTTCTCGACCATGAAAAAGATCGAGAGGTCCCAAAAACCTCCAAACCAAGAACATAAACGAAAGCCTTTTAGTTCATTGAAGTTTGAAAAGTGCCCATTATGGCCACTTAAATTTTTCCCCCCTTTTTTTTTCTCTATAAATACCTCAAATCATCTCCAAAAATTTTCACACAACATTTCTCACTCTCTTCCACATTCTGCACAATACTACATTCTTTTCTACCTTCATTTTCAATTTTTCAATAACAATTACCAATTTACTTTACCACACTAATTTATTTTTTTTACTTAATTACTTATTATACACCATACATATTCTATACATTTAATCACAAGTTCACAAATCACTGGATCCACACTCATATATTGATGGCTTTTTTGACGGTGTCGGAGGCGAATCGCCTATGATGTCGCAAAGTTAATTTCTGAATGAATTTGCCAATTTCGACGAAGCACCAATTTCGAAAAAAAATTCAAATTGAGATGCTCATCGAAGTAGTAACCCAATTGATTTGAATGATGTTGATATTCTCGAAGCGGAACATGAGGAGGAACGTGAATTAGATATTCTCGATACAATAGAAAGCAAAAGAGAAAAAACAGACAAAATGTTGGGATCACTTTAAATTGAATCCAATGTGCCATGTGGTCGATGGAGTTGTGGAGTCTAAAGCAATATGTGAATATTGTCAACAATGATTGGCATGGCAAAAGGGCATTGGTACCACCCACATGAAAGTCACTACAAAACATGTGCGACCAAACATGGGCTTTTTGCTACTGGTCAAATTCAACTGCAATTTGGTAGTTTGGCATCAGTTCTACTACTATGATAATTTTCTCTTGGATGTATTCAAGGAAAAAAGCTCGAACGAGAATAGTGAAGTTCGTTGCTGGTGCTAAGTTGCCTCTAGCAATAGCAGACAACCAACATTTTCGTCTCTTATATGAAGAAATATCTTCAATTGAGGTACATTGAGATAAGTAGAAACACTCTTTATTCCGATACAATATAATATTTTCTTTATACAAAAAATAATTAATTACCAATTTACAAAATATGGGGGTATTATATCTTTAACTTCAAATATATGAGAAGTGATTAATAAAAGATGTTATATAGCTGCAACTACACACTACATAGGCCCACCTTGGTGTATGCATAAAAAAATTGTTCCTTTTAGAATTATTGAGTTCTCTCACAACGCTAACAATATATATAACGCTATTTTGAGCATTATTAGAGAATTTTATTGTGAGAGCAAAATATGTTCTTATACATTTGAAAATGCTAATGTTAATAAGTCGGTTGTCGATAAATTGTGTAGGGTTCTACAGCCTGATTTCGATAGTTATTTATTTCATATTTATTGTGTATGTCATATTTTTAATTTAATTGTGTAGGATGGTTTGAAACATATTAAGAATGAAATTCAAAGAATTAAGGATGCACTAACATATATACCACGATTTCACCCAGTAGAAAGCAAGCTTTTAAGGAATTTTGTGTTGAATATGAGGCGACGAGTACTAAAATATTTGTTAACGATGTAGGGCATATATGGAATTTCTATTTTCTTGTTATTAAAATCATACGAAGGGTTTGAACATTTAATAAATGAATTTTATAATAATAGGCATATTTAATAAACGACGATGATACTATTTTAAAAGTATCTGATTGACTTTTAGCTTTAGAAATTAAAAAATATTTGACAAGTTTTTATAACTCTACAAATATTTTATCTGGTGTATAGTGTTTGAACATCTTTATATAATTGTAATAGCTTTTATTAAATACAAAAAGTACCTCAATTTTAGTGAAGTTATATATTCTATGGAATTAAAGTTTAGAAAATATTGAGAAGACTTGCCTATGTTATTTTCCGTAGAATGTATCATGAACCCCTAATACAATTTATCATGTAATTTATCAGATTTCAAAAGCTTTTAACTTTTAATATTCCTATCATTTTTAGAAATTTAGAACAAACGTTTATGTGAAATATATGAATTATATGCAAAACGAACGGCTGCAAAGTACCCTCTTCACCTACTTCTCCGACTAACATTAAAGAAGATGACGCTGAAATATTAAATTTATCTGAAGGCATTAATACGTATTGATATGATGCAAATGCAATAGGTTCTTCTAGTACTAATATGTCTACCGCATGTAATTAGATATCGGACGCAAGTCCAAATGCATTACTGCCGAATAATTAATTACTTTAATCATAATATGTCTAATAACAAAAAAAATTTAAAAAAGTTCAGAAAAAATAATTGAATTCTGGCGAAAATACGAATGACGATTGCCAGTTGTTTCTACGATTCCAAAGGACCTTCTAACACCTCGGTCAACACTGTAGTTTCGGAGTTTGCTTTTAATGCATGAAAAAAGGGTTTTGTCCGAAGTCAAGAGCCGACTAAAAGAAGATAATTTAGAAGAATAAAGTACGTGAAGGACTGGCAAGATGCTCATTCCAATTGCAAGATAAATTATACTGAAATTGTATATCGTTAGGTAAGTGATATTTAATTTGACCATATTAATCAAAATTTGCTATTTTATAATATTGTTTTAACTTTAAAAAAAAATTATAATATAACAAGTTGCTCGTGTACAATTTTTAATCACATACTCAAAATTTAAGTAGTCGATCATAAACTCAAAAATGGATGAGGGTTTTATCTATTACAGAAAAATGAACCAAAAAAAAAAAGGTCACTAGCTAGCGCATCATGGCTCATGGGCCAAGCTCGAGCTCATGGGCAATAACTGACTCGGCCCATCGCCACTACTAGACGTCGCAAAGGAGGCTCAAAAGTTTGTTAAGGAACATGGCAAGGGGCAAAACAGTGGTATACTAAAGAATTGCAAACTTAACATATGACGTAGGATTTAGCTATAAAAAAATTAAAAAAAAAAATAAATAAATTAGTAAATTTTGATAAAAATCAATAAAATTCGTGATCGAAAATTTGATAAAAGTTGTCAATTTTAAAAAAATGTTATAATTGAAAGTGAGTTTGGAAAAAAAAAATAATAATAATAAGAAAATAAAGGTCAAACGGGTGCTTACTAAATAGAACACATTACAATCATGCTACTTGCACAATATTTTTTTTGACAATCTTGATGGACAATACAAACTTGCAATATCACATTCATCTATTTTAAAAACTATTTTTTAAATTAATTGTTCAAATTTTGACAACATCAATATTGTCAACCACAATTGTACAAATATCTTTATTGTTTAGAAAAACCACCCACCCAAAGAGCTCATCATTGGCTGTCCATACACTGCTTGGCTGTCATTGATAGACAAAATTAAGCCAAGTTCGATGGCGGTTAAAATGAATTATGCTACTTGTATATAAAAATGATACATAAAAAATTATATCAAATAATGTGGAGGAAAAAAATCATCATGTTCAACACATCATTTGTCTAATATTTTGACCACAAAAAAAATTCCTCGTAACGATTAGATTCATTTATAGCAAATAAGATCTGTAGAGGATCAAGTTGATTACTGATTAAAATTTCAAAGTAACAACTTTCCAGTGATTTAAGTAGAGAAAAAACAGAGCTCAAAAACATAGAACATATAAGAAATGGCACAAAAATCCATATTAAGCTGTCAAGAAGTGTGATCCTTCTCTGCAGCAGCTTCAAAGGTCTCACCATCAACAAGGTCCGGCACATCGTCGTCATCTTCTTGTGCTGCATTAGCATCAGCACCAGGCACCTGCTTCTGGAACTGCTCTGCCAATTTCTTCAAATTCTCCAAATTATCAGGACCTGAATATTTTTCACAATAAACCTCCAGTCAGCCCAGTTGTCTGGGGGTGCGCAAAAAAAACAAATACTACCTAAAGGGAAAGAAGATGCATACCCAATTGATGAATAATTTGAGGAAGAATATCTTGCAGTTCTAGAACAGCATAAAAGAAATGTTAGTACACATTTTTGAAAATATAAGAAAGTGTCACAGAAAATGAGGATGTTCCACATTTAAAATCGACAACACAGAGAATTTTAATACGAAAAGAATAATTTGAGCAGCAACTCAGGTACCCAAGTATAAAATCTTAAGCCTTTGATGCTCATAGATCAACAATTCTCCCATTTTAACAATGAGAAATGGACCAAAAACACAGTTTCGGATCTAGGGGAAAAGTTAGAGGAACTATCACTGAGTTACACTAATATAGTATGTGAGATCCAAATCATAGAATCGAACTGGATATGAAAATATATCTTAGCTTTTTAAATGAGAGAAAGGAAAACATACTCTTGTTCTGAGGAGTGCCACTGACAACCCAAGTGTTGGCAGCAATAGAAGCTTGAACTATAGACAAAAGAAAACACTGGTCAAGACCAAAGAAAAAACAAAAAGTTCAACTGGGGAAATAATTTCAGCAGTCAATGGGTATACCTTTAGGATTAGTGAACTGTATGACTACATCCTCCTTGAAAATATTGACCTCCTCAATTGCAGGAATAGCATTCACCCCTATTCTCTTCAGTGTGCTTTGCAGTCTTTTGTCATCTGTGGTGGTAGTCTTGTGAACAGCTTTCTTCTTTCTGCAATTATGGGCATGGTTACATATTTAATAATATTAAACAGAGGAACAAACAAGCAACCTATACGATACTTGCATTGCAAGACCTAAACTTTCCAGTAAACTATGTCCTGATTAAAACAAGACCAACTGGAAATGATGTATTTACTTTTGAGGAAGATTAGAAACATAATTCACCAAGAGGAATCATGTTTATCCTCAAAATTTACCCATTATGTGAAACCCTATTTTCAGGAGTTCAGTCACCAAGACAAATGATCTACAAAACATTCCACTAGTGAGGGATATCTGTCTCTCATAACAGAAGACTATGGTATCAATTATCAACCGTATGTATCACAGAAGAAGCTAAAAATCCATAAGCATTCTGCCATGAAAATGATGCGGGTATGCAGCAACAGTGACTCTCAAATGACAAGCTAACAATCAAGTATATAGAAAAATACTGTGCTCCTCTATGTGTGCAGTAACACTTTGTAATTCGTTTCAGATAATAAAAAAGCATGCACTTAATCAATGAACTGAAAAATATAATCAAGTGTCAAAGCGACACAAACCTTCTCATGGTACCCTTCCCACCAGTTCGAACAGAACCAGCCATCTTCATTAGCTTTTCCACATTCATCTGTCATGTAAAAATTATAGGGCATTGCCCATTAAGCATTAACAATTTCAACATGCCAAAATTTTAAGGCAAATTCATATTTCAAATAAAGATCTTAACTTCGTGTAGAAAACTTCCCTAGGTTCTCTTATGCTATAGCAAGTCACAATAAGGATATATGGTTTGCCTCATAGGGCATGCAGAACTATACATACGTAAAAATAGAAAAAAGAAAAAAAAAAAGGTTTAATAATAAGTGCCGAGAGGTAAAGTTTTTTCTGCATGCGATTAAATTTGGCCTAACTTTCCACTAAAATATCGTTTTCACGAATAGCAGCCACTGTAACACGGCATGTCAAAAGCACAATTATCATGACCATATCAGCTAGGACAGAATGACTATACATGACGAAGTTGAAAAAATTCACCCCAAAATGAAATTATGTACTAATATAATGTCTTTCACAGCAGTAGGCACAAGAAACAATTAACATAACTATATAATAGCAAAAATAGAATGATATAAAATATTAACAAACAGATAAACTAGCCAGATATAAAAATGGGCAACAAATGCTGGCAGAACATCCACTAAAAATCCCAATTACCACCAGTGCAATGAAAAGCACGGATTACAAAAAACTGTAAACCTAAATTTACAAGTATTCAACTTTAAATAAAGAAATTAATCTACAAAATAAAAATACGTATTAAAATCAACAATAGGCAAGGATCTATCAATCAAGCTCAATCATTATTAGACGATATAAATATAAATACTAAAAAAACACAGATATATACACACAAAATATACATATATACACACGAATGTTCGTGTATCCGTGTGTGCTCGTATATTTATTAGATTACCTCTGGGAACGGTGGAGTATAAAAGGTGTGGATGCAGAGGGGGGAGGGGAGGGGAGGGGAGGGGGAGAGAGAGAGAGGAGTTAGAGTGTGAAATGGGGGAAGGAGGGAGAAGATAGCAAAAGAAACCCTAGTGACGCCTCTTTTAATTATTCGATTTTTCAGGGGTATATTAGGTATTCGATCATTTTCCCTGGGATGTTTGGCTAAGCTTAAAAGTGAGAATATTTCGTGTGTGACCTTTTCATTAATTTGCAAAGGATATTTTTAATTTTTATAGTAACAAAAATACTTTAAAACCATTTTTTATTTGTATGTAAACCATTTTTTATTTGTATGTAAACCATTTAATTTTAAATAAACATCGATCAAGTACAAAACTAAACTTATTAATTTATCTATTCAATGCATCTTCCATTTACCTCCAAAAGTCAAATCCTAAAATGTGCCGAAAACTCACCTCTTACTTAGGGACGATTAAATGGGGGCAAACCGCTCGCTGGCTTGTCTCATGCCCAAGGCGACTAGCAAAAGCCTTGAGTGACCTATCATTGCCTTGTGAGTCGGATGAGCTAGTTCGTATGCAAACTTGTCATTTTGCATACGAGTCATCTTGCTATTGGTGAGTGCAACGCAATGTTCCCAAAAAAAAAAAAAAAAAGCTCTTATAAATTCTTAATTATGCTTTGAGTTGTGTTTTTTCAGAGCTTGTTTATTGTGCAATCAAATATGATTATGTCTATCTGCAATCTCTCTTACTTTTATTGCTTAACAAATCTCTTTCAAAATCAATTTATCGTCATTCAATCTAATGTTTGATAGCGTTTTTATGAATTTAGAGCATGTTTGGTAGTGATTATGAGAATTGATTTTTTGATCGTTAGAGAGAAAAATGGATCCTACCTGTGAGTTGGGATGTAAAAAATAACAGCTGAAATAGTGAAATAACGATAAAAAATTTGATTTTTTGAGGTGAAAAATTGCTAACAAATGGGAGCTAAGTGGTTTTTAGAGAAATTATGCGAAGAATTTGTTCGACAGCATGTCTAATTTGCAACCAAATATTTGACCATACAAAATAAAATAAGTTATATACAAATAAAAAGCGTAGTCGAGCACCTAGAACTAACAGAAAATATGGAGCTTATCCATTCATAATGAAGTTCTAATAGTACGCTCATTGAAAATTTTTGTCCATTAAACACGTGTTTGTGCATGTTTGCATGAAAACATTACAAAGTATTCGCACAATTTGGGATGTGTAAGAAAAAATGAATGTAGTCTTTGAAATTTTGAGAATCAGAGATGAAATGAATTCATTTTTCCATTTTTATTTTATTTTATATACTTACGAGTTAGATTTGTATTTTTCATTCAAAAGTCGGGTAATTGGCACAAAACGTCCCTACCTTTCATGTCTATTGTGGAAAATGTTCTTACCTTTCATTTTTTGGCATTTTTGCCCCTACCTTCCACCTTTCTTGGCGTTGAACATCTTTTTCACCAATTTTGGACAATTTTACCCTCCATTCAAATAAAACGAAAAGAAAGGAAATGAAACAACAAATAACTAGTTGCAACCAAAGTCTCCAATTTTAAAAAATTACAAATCAATCACAAATATATACAAAATTTTCAATCATACAAAGTTTCTCCTCTGGGGTGTATGCACCTTTATTTAGATCTGGTCTTAGATGGTTCATCCACCTCAAGCAACAACTTTTTCCACACCGAGCCAGCCCCGAGTGCTTCCGGACTGCATTCCAGTTCCCTTCTCCATGCTTGGTAACGTACTCAATTAAAATGGCGTCTTGTGCAGATGTCCAGGGACCTTTTTTAAGTGGATCATTCCCACTCACATTTCCTTCGCTAGTATCTTCCTCGATGTATGTTGAATCTACGCTATCTTTGGATATAATCTTTTCCTCACTTTCACTTGACATGCCCTTCACCTATTTCGTCAACAAATCAAGAAAAATGATTTAACAGTTCGGTTTCCAAATTTTTAAATCAGAGATGCCAAGATAAATATCTAGAATAGTATTAGCCCATCCAGCAATCTTTGGATCTAAAATTATATAAATTTTTTTGCAAAAGTTCATTCATGCGAAGGCACTAACAGAAGTAGAGAAATATTATCATTGTAATTATTAATATTATTATCTAATTTAATTTTGATACCTCAATGTGGAGAACAAGGTCTTAGAAGCTGCAGTGCACTCTTTGTGAATCAAATGAAGCCCAGATTCCAAAATAAAATTCCTTAAACTCGAAATTTAATGTTTCAAATGCAAGTCCCAATCTAAAATTATCACTGTAATCGAAAAATAAGCACAAATCCAGTTGAAAACCTTAAAAGAATACTCAAGAGCAGAACGATGCAGATAAAAAATTCAAGAGGAAAGATCAATCTACTATTGTTCTAAACTATGATTTAGAAAACTCAGAAAGAGAATACCAAGAAAATTCTAGAAACCCTTTTGTACAAGTAAAGAAGAGATGAAATTGGCCCAAGATTCACTTGATTGAGAGAGGAAAATGACAAAGATGGAGAGAAAGAGATAAAAGAGGCTCAGCCTAAACCCATGAAAATGAAATTCGAAAAAAGAAGCATTATATGTCAAGCGTTGTTGGCACCTATGTTGAAAATTTTGTATATATTTGTGACTGATTTGTAATTTTTAAAATTTGGGAGCTGTGGTTGCAATTAGTTATTTCATTTCCTTTCTTTTTGTTTTATTTGAATGGAGGGTAAAATTGTCCAAAATTAGCGAAAAGGACGTTCAGCGCCAAGAAAGGTGGAAGGTAGGGGCAAAAATGTCAAAAAATGAAAGGTAAGGACGTTTTCTACAATAGACATGAAAGATAGGAACGTTTTGTGTCAATTACCCTTCAAAAGTCTTATACGTAAAGATTTAATAAATTAATGTCAACTTGACTCCCTCAATACTATTAAATAATTATTACGTCTACACACATAAAAATATTTTTTATTTTCATATTGTAAGCATGTCGTTATTTTTTTTATTTTTATTTTTATTATTATTATAATTTTTTTCGCTTTGAGTTTTGTTATAAGTCATCGAAATTATAATGCAATAAAAAGTATTGGTGAAATAAGAAAATTAATAATTGTGGATCCTGCGAATTATGTGATTAAATTAAGTTTGTCTTTGACATTTAATTATAAGGGACTTATAATAAAAAACAAACAAGCACTTACTCTAATTATATATACTTTGAACAACTTGATTAAAATATTAACAGGCTCACGCCATCACAGAATATTGGCTGCAACTAATCGCGTTTAAAGTAAATAATCTTGACTCGAGCAAATTTAATATTGAAAATGTTAAGAAAATCATCTAGGGTCTGTTTGGGAGCGATTTTTTCTTCCAAAAAATTGATTTTTTGACCGTTATTTCATTATTCTAGTCGTTATATTTGACTTTTTCTCACAGGTGAACTCCATTTTTTTCCTAACGGTCAAAAAATCAATTTTCAAAATCACTCCCAAACATGCTCCTGTTTAGTTGTGTTTTTTCAATTAGGAAATATATATAAACACCGGTGCGTGAAATAAGAAAAGTTGTACCAATGAGAGACAAAAATAACGGGCTACCGTTGAGACCCTTTAACGGTGTGTCCATAAATTTCTCAATCCAAACAAGTGTCCTATTAACCCAACTCCAGCTCTCTCTCTCTCCATTTAAATTCTCTCTCCCTTCCACCACCACCTTCACAATCGGAACCCCCACGCCCCCGCACCCGCTCCACTGGGTAACACCATATTATTCATATTGATTCATTTGAATTTTCTTCTACTTTCAACCTAAACTTCATCATCGTCCATTCATACATCAATCACACACAAATATGCATGTTGTCAAGGTAAGTCCTACGGAAAAACGATGAAATAAGACGTATAAGAGTCTTAATGTGATTATTAGAAGGAGAAGAAAAGATTCGTTTAAAATGACGGAGGTTGAAATGTTTATTTTCTCCATCATTTCTTAGATTTTATCATATATGTGAAAAATTATTTTCACAATCAATGGCAGGCAGAAAATTGATTTTTTTTTCTAATTTTTTAATAATGCAGCTATACGTTCGCATAGATGTTTTGCAAAATTGATGATTATGTGTTTTTTATTAATCTTGTGTGAGAATTCATTTTTCAGAAGTGGATGTAGAAAGAATGAGAGAAGATAGCGTCGTCGAGGGCTTGCAAAAGTTTTTAATTGATTTATTGAAAGACTCATAAATTGATCGATAGAGCCAACTTTGATTTAAAAAGGATGTCATCGAACGTGGGAACTGAATCAGTAGGGCAACAATCGACGTTGACACGGCGACCTTCGCGTAGCGCTGCCAACACTGTATTTTCTATGGAGGTGTTTGACAATGAGGTCGTCCCATCATCACTCCAATCAATTGCCCCTATTCTCCGTGTAGCCACTGAGATTGAGGTTGATCGTCCTCGTGTTGCATACCTGTGTACGTCCAACTATCACTGCACCTTCAATACATAGAAACATGCACATGTGCCTTTTTTTGTCCCTGTTTTGCCCTTGTTTGAGTCCCATCTTGAGGAAAAAGAATGAATTTTTGAATAGTCTATTGATGAGAAATATGTGGTTAAAAATAAGGAAAAATTTTGAATTTACGTGTAATATTATTTTATTGAATAATGTGTGGTTAAAATGATATCAAAACATCGTTGAAAAATACATTTTTTTTATAAAAAAAAAAGAATGAGGCTCTAATAAGGACTTTATATCAAGTGCGAAACATGATATTATTAAAATATTTAAAATACTTATTAGAAGATTTTATCCTTCAAATTTAATTAAATTCTTCTTTTTTGTCTCAATAACATCACTTCTGAATAAATATTTTTATCTTTCCAGGACATGAAAAAAATAATTTTATAAATAAATAAACTTTAGTTTAGGAGATCAAATTCTCGTGCGCGGGTAGCGATGACAATGGCTCGGCTCAAGCTCGTGGTTGGTGGGTCGAGCCGAGCTCACGAGCCGTGATTTTTTTTAATTATTATTATTTTTCTAAACTTGCACATTTTTGGACCTTTTTTTTTTTTAAATTTCATATTTTTTGACGAGCCCATGAGCCGCTCGTGGGCTCGATGAGCCGAGCAGGCTTGGCTCGTGGGATTGAGCCCCCTGCTCGGCTCGACTTAGGTTCGGGCTGCCCACAAGCTGGGTTTTGACGAGCCGAGTGGTCGAACCGACGAGCCGCTCGACCCGTTTGATATCTTTATGCGCGAGCGTGTGGATATATATATATAT